GGCCCGCGGCCGCGGCCGCGCGCGCCGCCGCGGACGGGTCGCCCGGCGCGCCGCGGACGCGGAAGGCGCCGCCGCCGCCGCCCTCGAAGGCGGCGCGCTCGCCGTCCGGGAAGGCGCCCTGGCCCATGAACGCGTCGCCGTCGCCGTCGCCGTCGCCGCGCTGGCCCGCGGCCGCGGCCGCGCGCGCCGTTGCGGACGGGTCGCCCGGCGCGCCGCGGACGCGGAACGCGCCGCCGCCGCCGCTCGCGAAGGCGGTGCGCCCGCCGCCCGCGGCGGCGCCCTGGCCCAGGATCGCGTCGCCGTCGTCGTCGAAGGCGCCGCGCTGGCCCGCGGCCGCGGCCGCGCGCGCCGTTGCGGACGGGTCGCCCGGCGCGCCGCGGACGCGGAACGCGCCGCCGCCGCCGCTCGCGAAGGCGGTGCGCCCGCCGCCCGCGGCGGCGCCCTGGCCCAGGATCGCGTCGCCGTCGTCGTCGAAGGCGCCGCGCTGGCCCGCGGCCGCGGCCGCGCGCGCCGCCGCGGACGGGTCGCCCGGCGCGCCGCGGACGCGGAACGCGCCGCCGCCGCCGCCCTCGAAGGCGGCGCGCTCGCCGTCCGGGAAGGCGCCCTGGCCCATGAACGCGTCGCCGTCGCCGTCGCCGTCGCCGCGCTGGCCCGCGGCCGCGGCCGCGCGCGCCGTTGCGGACGGGTCGCCCGGCGCGCCGCGGACGCGGAACGCGCCGCCGCCGCCGCTCGCGAAGGCGGTGCGCCCGCCGCCCGCGGCGGCGCCCGGGCCCAGGATCGCGTCGCCGTCGTCGTCGAAGGCGCCGCTCTGGCCCGCGGCCGCGGCCGCGCGCGCCGCCGCGGACGGGTCGCCCGGCACGTCGCGGACGCGGAACGCGCCGCCGCCGCCGCTCGCGAAGCGCTCGCCGCCCGCGGCGGCGTCCTGGCTCAGGTCCATGTTGGCGCGGCCGCGGAGCGCCGCGGCTTCGGCCGCGGGCGGCGCCGCGGCGTCGTCCGCGCCCGGCGCCAAGAGGCCGGCGCTCGGCGCGCCGCCGCCGTCGAGGGCGCCGCCCGCCAAAGCGGCGGCGCCGTCGTCGTCGACGTCGAGCAACAACGCCGCGACCTCCTCGAACGACGCCCGCCGCTCGCGCAGCAGGCGCACGAGCTGCGCGCGCTCGCGGCGCAGCACGTCCCGACTCCGGGGCATGTTCGCGCCGATCTGGAGCCGCGCGAGCTCGGCGATCGTCGCCGCGAGCTCCGCGTCGCCCGCGGCGCTGTCCTCGAAGCCCTCGCCGGAGTCGCGCTCGTCCTCGAGCATGTCCAACAGCGCCTCGGCGTCCGCGTCCAACGCCTCGGCGTCCTCGTCCTCGGCGTCCTCGTCCTCGGCGTCCTCGTCCTCATCCTCGTCGCTCTCAGCGCCGTCGTCCTCGGCGTCCTCGTCCTCGTCCTCGTCGCTCTCGGCGCCGTCGTCCTCGGCGTCCTCGTCCTCGGCGCCGTCGCTCTCGGCCGCCGCGAGCTCGCCGTCGTCGTCGGCGCAGATCTCGTCCTCGGAGCGCGTCACCTCCTCGACGGACTGGACCTCCCGGAAGGCGCGCTCGCCCCGGTCGCCCGCGAGCCGGACGATGTCCTCGCACCGCTGCGTGAGGTTCGCGCGCCCCGCCGCGCGCTGCTCGCTCCGCAGCCGCTCCGCCGCGCGCTTCTGCTTGCGCTCCGCCGCGCGCCGCTGCTTCTCCGGCCGCGCCGCCTTGCGCCGCTCCCGCTCCGCGACGCGCGCCGCGTACGCGGGGTCCTGGGCCATCCGCAGCGCGTGCTTCTTCGCCATCGTCTTCTTCCACGTCGCCACGCGCTTGAGGATGGCGGCGTAGAAGCAGCACCGCAGCTTGACCTTCTTGTCGTGGGGGTCGACGCCCTCGCCGCCGCACGTGTAGCCGCACGTCCGCTCCGTGTTGAGCACCTTCTTCTTCTTCTCCTTGACGAGCTTGTCGAGCGCGCGCTGCTCGTAGGGGAACTGGCCCAGGAGGAGGTGCGTCCGGCGCGAGTCGTCCTCGGCGCTGAAGATGATCGCGAAGGGCTCGAGCATCATCTCTGCGTCCGCGCCGCGCGCGCGGTAGAAGCTCTGGATCGGGATCGAGTGCCCTCCCTCGCGCAAGCTGCGCCGGTGCGCGCCCTGGCGGTCGTGCGCCATGAGCTTCGCGATCGTGCGGACCACGTCGACGTCGTCGTCCTCGATGGCCTTCTCGAGGCGCCCGCGCAGCTTGCCCCAGCGCTTGAGCTGGCACATCGTCGACCCGTCATACTCGGCTGTCGAGTCCCCGAACCGGTACAGCACCGAGCCGGCCGACCCGGCGCTGCGGTCCTCGCCGGACGCGGGCGCGGGCTGCGACGCGCGGACGACCGCCTCGAACCTGAGGGCAGCCCACGAGTCATCGAAAGGGGCAGGATGCAGGGAAGTTGAGTGAAACAAACTTCCCTCTCTCAGCCTCTCACGGCGCTGCGCGGCGCGCGATGCGCGACACGTGGCGCGCTTTGTGTCGGACGCGGGCGCGCGCGCGTCCTGGACGTCGCCGGCGAGCTCGCCGGAGCAGCTCCGCGGGTAGCGAATTCCAACAAGCCGGACCAGAGCCAGCCTGTCGACCTCAGGCTCCTGGTCGCCCAGCTCGCGTCGCAGCACGGCGACCGCGCTGTCGAGCGTCGCGCCGCTCTGGAGCGTCGCCGCGACGGCGACGAGGCGCCGGCCGGCGAACGCCGCCAGCGACGCGCCGTCCTTCAACTTCGAGGAGTTGTGGAGGAACGCGCCGCGGTGGTGGCGGTCGACCGTGCGCGGCGGCGCCTTGACGCCGTCGACGAGCTCGAGGTCGTCGCAGACGCTGCCGCCCGTGACGTCCGCCGCCGCCGCCGCGCAGAGCCGCGCGAGGTCCCACTCGCCGCGGACCGGGGTCGCCGCGACGACGAAGACGGGCCCGTCGCCGTCGTCGGAGAAACCGAACCGCGCTAACGCAGCGGCGGCGAAGCGGCCCGTGAAAACCCGCTGGCTTTCGACGTCGCCCGACCGCGCCTTCGCGAAGGCGATGGCCTCGACGCCGCAGGCCTCGAGCACATTGAACATGTAGGCGACCTCCGTCTCCTTGCACATCCGGAAATCGCAGCCGCCTTTCCCCTCGGTCCGGCCCGGCAATCCCCGTTCGCCGTTCCACGTAACGACGCGGCGCCCATTTTCGTTAGTGACGCGCACTTTGCGGTTCGGGTGGTCGAGGGGCAAGGCCGCCATCGCGACGTCCCTAGCACCCGCACTAGCGAGGCTCGAGCAACCTCAATAAGAGTGGGGGGGCCCCAAGTTTTGCGAAGCCCGCGCCGCAGGCGTGCCCACGGGCAACTTTACGACTGTCCGTCGGGGGAGAGCGGAACCGCAACGGCGCGATGCTACCCCTCGTTCGCGACGGTCCGTCACCCGTCCGGGGGTTCGCAACCTCAGGCTCGGAACCCCCGGCAACGGCCGCGCGTCTAGGGCCGCCCCGCGTTCGCGACGGTCCGTCTCCTCCCCTCGGAAGACGCCTGCCCGTCGATCGCCACGGTCCGTCTCGCCGCGCCGGGGGAGGGCGCTCCG